TGCCGAGTGGATTGAGTTAGTCGGATGATTTGAGGAGAGAGAAGAGTGATAATGGTGGCTTTGTATCGAGCGGTGATAATAGTTTGAATGATAGGAGAAAGGAGAATGATAACAGTAATGTTCTGGTGGGAGAAGGTTAGTGGTCTAAGGCCAGGGAGGGCGAAGTCAGTGCGACACCGCCGGTGCTTGGGGATGCGGGGATTGGGTGCGGCCGACGCCGTGGGGCAGAGAGGTGGTTGGGTTGGATGGGGAGGGGGTGGTGGGTTTTTGTAAAAAATTATTTTTAAAATAATTTAATTATTAAAAAGTACAAAAAAAAAACTGACCATGTTTAATAAATGTTTAAACTAATTACTTAATGCCACCATTAAATTAATAACAGTAATAGTTGATTTCCGAAAATAATTGAAATTTTTGATGTTTACCAAATAGAAAATTAAAAAACTTGTGAGCACCAAAGAAAATTTCCCAAATATTTTAAATTATATGTATTTAACAAGAGAGTTTTAAGGGGTAGACATTAAATAAATTTGAATTTCAAGAAAAAAAATGTTATATAAGTTCGTTTCTTTTTAACTAATTTCATTTTAATTGACTTTTATTATGTACAAGTTTTATTATTATAAATTCGTGCATTGCACGGGGCAAAAACTAGTTGATGATAAATACATACCCTAAACTTTTAAAGAAAAGAATTCGGGTTGAATTTCTATGGGCTTGAAACTGAGAGGAAAAAGGATGATACCAATGATCCTTTGTCTTATTTAAATTTTGTATATCTATTGATTATTATGGTTTATATAATTTCCAAATTTTGTCTTAATTTTTTAAATTCCAACACTTTAGGTTAGTTGTTAGTGCTACCGTATTTGGTATATATCAAAAAAAATTCCTTATTATAGTGCTATGATTTATTCATTATTATTGCCTTTGCTCTTAAGCAATCAGATTAGTTTAGTCGTGAACTCGCGATAGGTATAGATATTTTTTTTTTTTTTTTTTTTTTTTTTGGTGGTGGTTTTCACTTTTCAGTTCCTAATCGAGTAGAACAACCACGAAGCTCATAAGAGTCATAACCTTGAGAAGAATTGATCGATTGTTTCTTGTTTCTGAACCCATATTAGACCCAATTCTAGTCTAGTCATACATTTTGTGGCTTTCATTCAAGCTAACTACCGAATAATTTACACATCAAACTAAAACTAATACGGGATATGAAAAATCTACGTATTTTATATATTTATACAAACGTACTCCTTATATAGTACAACTAGCATTATCTTTTTTCCTAGCCATTCACTTAAATTATGCATAAATTGATGATTCAAACAGCCTTTCCTTTTCAATTCCACTTCCTTGGAAATTATTGCGAAAACAAAATACCATTAACACTAAAAATTAAGATAGTCCATAAGCATTGAACTGCTTGAAAGTAACATTAAATACTTAGCTGACTAGGCTCCCAAAACCTCGGGCTCTAACCATTATAAATATTGAATGACTTGACGAGTAGGAACAAAACGTATGATAAAACATCCATGACAACTAGGTTCTCTTTGTAATATACTAACTAGTCTGTGATCCGGACGATGACTCGGGATGTTAGTTTGTACTTGTTTAGTTTGCTAATCATGTTCGACTGTTTTTTCTTTTTGTTTTGATAATCATCTTGAAATTTCATTACCTGAAAAAATATTTGTAAACACTAATTATCTTATTCAAGTTAATTATTATTTTGTTTGATAGAAAAACACAATAAATGAATAGCTAAGATGGTAAGACTTGTAACTTAATACTTGTTGGTCTCGAGTTCATCTTGCTATAAGCATTTTTAGTTGTAAAATCCAATACATGTTGTGGAGGTGACATGTCATCTTAGTGTTTAAAGGTGTGACACGTGTCATATATTGTTGACATGTTATGTTTATAGTGCTCAAAAAAGGTGACAAGTGGCACATCATATTCTATTTTAGGAACTCTTTTTAATATATAATAATAATAATAATAATAATAATAATAATAATAATAATAATAATAATAATAGATATCATATATAAAATGTTATGTATAGTCTTCAATATGTGAGTTTTAAAGTGGAAACATTCTCCCACATGGAAAGATTAAGATATGTTGGATGTTTTAATTAACTTGAGTGTGCTATGTATAATTGATTTGTTTTGGGCCTATTTGATTGGGCTTTGGTTATGGCTTTGTTAGTGGATGATTAGTAGTATATTTATAAAAATCTAATATCATATCATATATCACTAATATATAAAGTCGGTCTCGCAGCTAGGTCACAAGATAGCGACACTTGGCATTCTAGTTTTTCACCAAGTGTCGTGCCATGTAGGCAAAAAATAGGTATTATTGTGACACATATGATACTAAGTAAGCGATTTTTGGATAGATTTTTTAAGATAAAACTGTTGTATAGAGTTTAACTATCAATAGAATTCTAATATTTCATATATACAAAATTAATCATAACTTTTAATAACTATCCTATGACTCTGTTCTATTTCCATCATCAAATTCGTTTTAAAAAGTTCTTTACAATAAGATCCATTTATAATATACTTAATGCAAAATTGGCCTCGTAGTATAGCAAAGTTGCACTCAACACTCCGAACATTACGTAGTAGCCAAAACACCACCTAGTATGATGGTTGGATAGCAACGCGCACCTTTAATGAAATATCCCGGCAACACAGTTCACCGGAAAAAAGCATAATCAATTTTTTATTATTTTTTGGCCCCTATTACAATTTTTTTTTTGTATACTCCTAAACTTAAAAGTCACGTGCCCTCCCTTCTCCTTCTTCTTTTCTTCTTCTTCTCTCATTCGTATCTCCTTCTTCTCTCATTAGAACCAGAGTTTCCAAGTTCTTCCCCAAATTGAAAACCCTAATTTTTTTTTAAAATTGGAATTCTTCCCAATTGAAGTATGAGCTCAACATCAACGACCTCATTTAGGAGGAAATCTTATTCTGGTACGAATGTGAGGGTGTATTGTGGACATCGACTACCTGATGTCATTCGTATTGCGTGGAAGTACAATGAAAATCAAGGAAAGCATTTCTATGGCTGTGCAAAGTGGAAGGTAATTAAAATTTGAAACCTAATATTAATTATGTTAGAATGTTGTTTCTAAATACATGTGAAAATGCAGGTTGATGATTGCAAATTTTTCGAATGGATTGACAAGGAAGAATATGGACCATGCGCCATTGAAGTAATTAATGGTTTAGCTGCAAATAATGAGAGGATGGAAGCTGAATTAAGGAACCTGAGAGATTCCTCAGGATGTCAAAACCCAATCATTTGAAGATGGGGCAAAATTAAGAGCAATGAAAGCTGAGAACAAGAGATTGAAGCAACAACTGAAGGTTCTGTCTGGAAGAGAAAGGGCATATTTTGGGGCTTTCTTAATTTGCTTGATATGCTTTATGTTGTTTATTGCAAGGTTGTAGGTTGGCTAAGTGCTTTGGTAGTTGAATTGATTATGGTGGTTAGAACTAGGTGAGATGGTATAAAAGTATGTAGTATAATAGTATGTAGTATAATAGTATGTAGTATTTTAGTATGTGTACTTTAAGATGTACTCCATTATTATCATGAAATGAGAGGAATACAATATTTGGTGCATTGTATTTGCTGTTGTTATTGAATTGTTTGGTAGTTGAATTGAATATAATAAGGACCACAAATGACAAAAGCAACAACATTTGTACTTTTGATATTCAATGCTTTAAATCACATGGTGAACAACCAAAAGCTAGTTCAAAGATGCTTTTACAAGGACAAAAAGCAACACCTTTAGATCTGAAATTTGACTAGTTTAATACCACAAAAATTGTCCACCCCAATAATATTTCTACCCTAAATGAACTACATATGCTACTGCTAAGCTTTCATGGTTGCCTAGCTGTTGTAGAAGCTTGAGTTTCCACTTCTCCACAGTCTGTTAGGATAGAGTTGGTTCCTTTACTTGGTCTTCCCTTCCCTCTTTGGTGTTCTAATGTTGACTTCTGAGTGGCAGGATTCCTTGTTGACCTAGATCTGGTAGTAGGTCCAGCTGACCAGTGTTAGGGTTTGTAGATGTATTGCTGGAACCAGTTTGTCTTGCTCTTTTGGTAGGAGCTACAATAGTTGTACATGCAGATGCAGATGCAGAGGCAGAGGTATTTGTTCTTCCTCTTTTAGTTTTCTGTAACAACAACAAAAGGTAGTTAGATGTATATAAGATTGTTAGAATTTGAAATAAATAGGTATAGGTATACCTTTTGCACTAGGATAGCTGGTTCTGGTGGCTTGAGTGGGCATATTCTCTTGTTATGCTATTTTGATCTGCATATACCACAAGTCATTTGCAAACCATGCTTGCTCAGCTTCCCTGGTTTGTCTTGTCTTTCATGTGGGGATTTTTTTCTTGCCTTTCTTGGTCTTCCTGCACCTATTTTAATCTCAGGTGGGTGCAATGGGAAAGCCACATGTTCTCAATGAGTCTCTCCCCTTAGTGGTTTAATAGAACCATTGTATGCTTTTAAATATTTTGCCTTGGTCAGCCTCTCATCCACATAATTCTCATAGGGAACTCTCAACCAGGTACATGCTGAAATTGCATGACAACATGGGAAACCATGTAAGTCCCATCTTCTGCAACTGCAGGTCTTGTTATCCAAATTGACAACTAACACTTCCATGTCATGTAGTACCTGAAACTCTGTGGGTCCAGATGCCAAAACAGTGCATGACGTATCATACTCCTTGTTTTTTTCAAGTCTTTTCCTTATTCCTGGACAAATTATGTCCTTAGATCTCTCCATCAAAGTTTTCTTCAAAAACAACCTCTCTATTAAAGCCCTTCTTATGTCCTCCAACATATGTATTATAGGCTTAGATCTGGCCTCTAATATCCACCCATTGAAAGTCTCTACTAGGTTATTTTCAACTAAATTGCATTTAGTTGTTGTTCTAAATCCAAATCTGCAGAAAGCTTATGATTTTGTTTTTTTGAAGTCTTCAATAGCAGCAGCAGAGATGGTATTCATTTCATCTAGAGCCTTGTCATAGTCTGCCTTAGTGTAAGCATACACTGCCTTCCAAAACAATGATTTCAATTCATCCCCACCATGTTTCTTGTGCCATGGTGGATATATGTGCCTTGCACATAGTCTGTGTTCCACAACTGGAAACCACAGTTTCACTGCTGCTACAATTGACAGCAAGGTGGTCATGTACAAAAAAATCAGATTAGTATTGAAAACTTACAATGTACAAGAATAACATTGTTCACTTCTTGCAATTACCTTATATTGATCTAAAATAATAGTGCAGTCCTCTCCACCAAATTCAGGCATGTCATGTTTTAAGGTTTCTAAGAACCAAGACCATGAATCATTATTTTCTGCCTCGACCACACCCCATGCAACTGGAAACATCTGGTTGTTCTCGTCCCGACCTATTGCTGTTAGCAATTCCCCCCTAAAAAAGTTTTCAGAAAACAACCATCTAGGCAAAGAACCTTCCTGCAGCTGGACATATACCCTTTCCTAAGTGCTGGAAAACTAATATACAATCTTTTAAATACATGCTCACCATCTTTTTCTCTCTCAAATGTCTGCAACTCATATCTCATATCAGTATCACTCCTTTTAAACTCAACCAAATATGTTGCCAGTCGAGAATAATGGTCATACAAGTTGCCATGAAGTATCCTGTGAGCAATAGATTTCACTCTATAGCAATTACACTTTGAAAGTCTCACACCAAACTTCTCTATCACATCCTTTTCTAATTATTTCCTTGACCAATTAGGATTGTCTCTGAATTTTTGCAAATATTCTTGTGCAAACCACCCAGCCTTAGCTTGTAAATTCTCATAATCAGCCCTGTTGCATGTGTGGTTAGGATTGCATGATTTGACAATGAATGACTTGTGTTGACCATCCCAAGAAGCATACAACTTCCACTCACAGCCACTCTTGCACTCGGCTTCCATTTTCTTATTTCTCTCAACCTTGTACCATCTAATACTGTAACCAGCAAGGAATGTATATCTGTTCACCATCTATTTGAAAACTTCAGGAGATTGGAATTTAATTCCAACCTGCCACCGTAGTTGTTAAAATCCCGATCCAAATCTTAAGATCCTACGATTCTACGATCCAAAATTGCGTGATCGATCTGAATCTTTGGTAGGATCTTAAAGTTTGTAGGATCTTACGATCCTACTCCGATATTAGTTATGAGTGGTAAGATCTCAACACGATCCTACGATTTTATTACGATCCTACAATCCGATCCAACATTTTCCTATAATATGAGACTTTGATTTATTTTGACATATTTTTTATTACTCTTAGGTTATATGCACCTAAATTTAATGTATTCAATAATTATCACTAATAAATTAGCGAATCCGAGACATTAATATGATTTTATCAATTGACAACTTGCACATAATTTATTAATTTAAACTTGACAATTAATATGCAATTGTCATAGTTAAGGTCTCATTCTTGACAAATTTGTACATAATTTATTAATTTAAACTTGTGTTATTAATCTTCTAACTACCATACAGACAAAGCTAAATGAAGATCGACGTTTCTTAAGCAAACCAATATCTTTTAGCACTGAAACCCCTTAGAAGAAATGTTTTTAAGTCAATTTATAGCATAATATATAATATTATTCGTTATTAAGTAGGATCTTACGATCCTACGATCCGCTCTATCGATTCGATCCCACCCCCCCTCTCATCGATCCAAGGTAGGATCCCGATCCTAACAACCTTGCCTGCTACACAAGTTTCTTAAAATCAGTGCTCTTATCTACCACTTTTACTGCAGTGTTCCTAAGTTCCTCCTTTTCACCATCATCCACCTTAGAAGTCATCATCTGCATTAATGTCACTTGCATTTTTCAAATTAATCAATGATTGGACATGTTCCTCATCACTTGAACTGCTCTGTTCCATTTGGTAATCACCATCAGCACTGTCATCATTGTCCTCCAAAGATTCAGCTGGACTTAACTCTATTTCATCCTCACCAACAATCCAATCACATTTCTTCCACTCTAAATCATCCTCGTGACATTCAGTCATTTCAAAATCTTGATCAACATCAGACTCATAACCCACATGTTCAGTGTAATACCAGTTATCTACATGTATATGGTCACAAGACATAGGCTGATCACTACGCTCATGTGGACTACCCCTATCTGCATTCTCACCAGCACCAAAACCTCCCAAGCCATCTCTATTCTCCCCAATTTTATCCAATCCATCATTATCAATCTAAACCTCATCATCTATACTTAGAAATTCAAGTCTAGACCTGATTCTGTCAAGCCTTTTCTGAAACAAGTTACTTCTGTCAGTATTTTCTTTGCTATTCACACTCTTTTTCTTTCTCTTATATGGTGGTTTAACGGGTTGTAAACAAGGTTCAGGAGGTTTTACAGTTTGTGGCTTTCTAGGGGAACTCCTACCTGGTCTTCTTGGTGAAAGTTTTTTTCTTTGAGTGTTTCTTTTCTGAACAGGTAATTTTGAGGTGGGTTTTTCAGGGATTGATTGTGTGTTTTTTTTTTCTGAATAGGTAATTTTGAGGTGGGTTTTTCAAGTTCTGAATGTGTGTTTGCCACATTGGATTCTGCTGCACTAGGCCCTTCAACTAAAGTGATTACTTCTGGGTCATCCACCCCATGAATCACATACTATTCAACCATCCCATTCTCAAAACCAACTTTCACAAAATCTAAGACTTCACTATCTTTCCATACTTTAACCAAACCCCTTTTCAAATCTAAACCAGGCAAGTTATAATACATAAAGCAGGTATTAGTGTACTTCACACCTTCCTCCTTCAACATAGCTAAGAATTCAAAGTAACTCACATAATCAGGGTCAACATTATCCCAATAATGCACTTCTCCTCCAATACACTGCCAATCTGGAGTTAAGAACCCTCCATGATTCAACTTAATAGTAAATTTAGCATTGTCCATGACCTAATTTGCGCAAACACAAAAGGATTCACGAGGCAGCAACATATATTTAAATACAATCAACATGCATCCCAATTTCACAAAATTACAACCATAATTCAACAAATTAAATCAGGCACACCCCACAAAATCATCTTTTTTGACACGCAACTCGCAAATTTGGTCAATTATTAAATAATACACACACATCGCAGTACAAAAAATTCAATTTGAAAATAGGGTCACTCACAGTTTTGCAAAGATGCTTCCGCCTTTGTTTGTCGTCCTTCGATTCTTGTATGCGCTATTCAACAATGGAGGTTTTCAATTTTGGGTTGGTGGGTCATTAATGAAGTTCAAAAAAAGAAGAAAGAAGAATGAGAGAAGAAGGAGAAAAGAAGGAAGGGCACGTGGCTTTTAAGTTTAGGAGTATACAAAAAAAAAAAAAAAAAAAGTAATAGGAGCCAAAAAATAATAAAAAATTGATTATGCTTTTTTTCGGTGAACTGTGTTACCGGAATATTTCATTAATGGTGCGCGTTGCTCCAACCATCATACTAGGTGGTGTTTTGGCTACTACGTAAAGTTTAGAGTGCTGAGTGCAACTTTGCTATACTTATGAGTGTTGAGGCCAATTTTGCCTATATTTAATCACAAATTTTATATGTAGCTAGCCAAACTGTGTCACCAACTATTACAAGTGTTATTTCGTTAGTGCTATAGGGGTTACTTGGTCAGTGTTAGAGGTTACTCAGTTAGTTTTACAGGGTTACTCGGTCAGTTTTATAGGTATAACTTTGTCCGCCCAGATGGTGTAGCTAGCCACATACAAAATGTATTGTTATTTAACTTATTTAAGAAAATATTAGAGAATCAGTAAAAATAAGTTTTAATCATTAAAAAATAATTTTAGTTTGGTGAAAATACTTTCAGTTCAGTGAAAATAATTTATGTTCAATAAATATAATTTCAAGTTAATAATAATATAAATATATATTTACAAACAAAACTACAAAAAGTACACTATATATAAATATAAGCCATATAATATCGTATATTTAAATATCCTACATTATCGGAACGAATTATTTGACCGTATTTAACATTCAAGCAAGGTTATTAGGATCGGGATCCTACCCTGGATCGATGGGGGGGGGTGGGTGGGATCGAATCGATAGAATCGGATCGTAGGATCGTAAGATCCTACTTAATAACGAATAATATTATATATTATGCTATAAATTGACTTTAAAACATTTCTTCTAAGGGGTTTCAATGCTAAAAGACATTGGTTTGCTTAAGTAAGGTCGATCTTCATTTAGCTTTGTCTGTATGGTAGTTAGAAGATTAATAACACAAGTTTAAATTAATAAATTATGTGCAAATTTGTCAAGAATGAGACCTTAATTATGACAATTGCAAGTTGTCAATTGATAAAATCATATAAATGTCTCGGATTCGCTAATTTATTAGCGATAATTATTGAATACATTAAATTTAGGTCCATATAACCTAATGAATAATAAAAAAAATATGTCAAAATAAATCAAAGTCTCATATTATAGTAAAATGTTGGATCGGATCATAGGATCGTAATAAAATCGTAGGATCGTGTTGAGATCCTACCACTCATAATTAATATCGGAGTAGGATCGTAAGATCCTACAAACTTTAAGATCCTACCAAAGATTTGGATCGATCACGCAATTTTGTATCGTAGAATCGTAAGATCCGGATCGGGATTTTAACAACTATGCATGTAGGATTAGTATTTTTAGAGCGTTACGTATAGGATTATGCCACGTAGGATTGTTATTTTAAAGCTCCATGTAATATTAAAATTAAAAATTTAAATTTATTATAAAAATAAAATACTCTCTCCGTTTCATAATGTTAGTCTCATATAGAATCAATCGCATAAAATAAGAAAAAGAAGAATGTTTGGAATCTAACATTAAAGTACAAAATAATCCATAATTAATTTACCTTATTTAAGTTTTTTGATTTTTTTTAATTGGAAAAACATAAGTCATAATGCATAATTCAAGATAGAGATTTCCTTACTTAGAGCCATGTCATCTATCCACAACCAATTAATTCCAAAAAAATTAAGTTAAAAAGGGAACATATTCAATATGGGTAGATCTTTTTGAAACGCCCAAAATAGTATACGGGACTAACATTATGAAACGGAGGGAAAACTATCTTTTCAAATTGAAAATTTTATCTAAGTGAAAAGAAACAATTTATTTTATTTCGTACATATAACAAAAATACTATTAAACTTTAAAAAAAATGAAAATCACGTTTAATTGATATTTAAAAAAAAATTGGATTAGATAAAAAAAATAATGAAAATATGACAAGTGATTATAATAAAATATTTTATAAAAATATACTAATAAAAAAAATGAAATCACGTCCAATTAAAAAAATATTAGTTTTCTCTAAAAAAAAACAGTTTTGGATTAGATACAAAAAATAAGAAAAAAAATTATTCAAATTAAAAGTATATCCTTTCTCTTTTTTTAGCAAAAAAAAAAAAAAATCATCATTTATCATTTATTCGATGAGTTGATTTCATCTTATGATTTGTTATTATTATAAATAGGCATTAAATTCCAATTAAATAAGAGATTTGTAATTTCTTTTAGAATTAAATAATTCAAATGCCATAAGTAAAATTAGGGAATGAGATTTTAAAGTTTAAATATAAAATATTATCTTTTGATATTAGGAATTTCATGTAAATATATAACGAATGAGAGAAAATTCACAATTTATTTTAAATAATTAAAATAAAAATATTAAATAATAATCTGATATTAAGCAGGTTTAACATTGCCGGTTATGTTAATTTAATTTTTTATTTTTAATTAATTAAATTGATAATTTCGGATAAGATTATATGACAGTTTTTTTTTTTGGATAAATAACTGTCATATTAATCTCTATAAATACATCTTTTGGAAGTGTTAAGTTTTTAGTTTTATCTTTTTCTTTCTCATTCTACGTTTCCACAAAATTTCATGTCCATGGAGAATGTAAAATTATGCTGTATTTTCATTCGAAGTA